TTATTACGCTTCCACCTAACTCCTCTTTCCTCTCGCCGCTTCACCAGCTTAGCAAGAGTTGACATTTTTGCTTGATTACAGATTTACATATGTTACGTATTTCTACGCTAGCTTGAGTAAATGCGTTGTCGGATAACATATGCAGCTTCTTTGAACTTCCTCTCTGTGGATGATCTCAGCTCGAGACCACTTGATGTTTGTTGATGAGTCCAAACGTGATCTGCTTTACCGATTTACTGGTTTTTCCTCGCTGTGTGTTACTCTTGTGCTCGGCAATGCGGAGTTTTAATGGCCTCTTAGTTTCACCGATATAGGATTTTCCGCACTCACAGGGTATCCAGTAAATACAATTCTTGGAGTTGCAGTCCCAGTTTGGTGGCCTGGTTTTCGTGAGGCTTGGATCCAATTCTCCTCATCCTTTCCGACAATTCTCCGACGTAAGGAAGGGCAGGCACTGGTTGTGATGGCTTCTCTTCCTTGTGAGGCTCTTGCCGTCTTCTTGCCAAAAATTGTTTCTCCGTGGTTATTTCCAAGTGATGGTGAAACAATTTTTTGCTAGACGAGTGGGAAATGCGGGGATGGATGAAAGCATTCGAATGACCTATAAATAGTAATCTCTCAGAGGAATAGCCCTGTCATCACCCCAAGACGATTGTGGATATCAACAATCAAAAGTCCTAAGGTAACTCAGTTTGAAATCTTTTTTAACTTCTGTTTCAATTGTTCAATTTCAAATTTTTTGCTTATTTTCATTTATTTGTCATTTCATTCAACGTTTCATGGCTTGATGTGATTGATATTTTCAGCTATTCATTTATTTTTATTTTTTTTCAGAGATTTCAATTCATATTAGATAATGGAAGTTCGAACCAGTAAAACTCACCATGAAATATTGTCACCAACTTTCAAAAAATGCATTTCTGATTTAGGCTAGCTTCACTGATGAGGTCTATGTCAGGTCGAAACTGTGCTGTCTGGTGTTAAATCACGAGAGCTTCCTTTTTTGTCTCTGGATTTGAAAAAATAACTAGTAAAATCTAACGATTGGAGCTTTAGATATATCTAACGATCAGACATCTTAAATATTGGATTGAATTTTTGTAACAAGTTTATAATCTATAAGATTTTGAATTTTGTATTTACTAACCCGTTACTTCATGAAAATTAATAAAGTTATCCATGATGATAATTACAGTTGGACCGGTGCATCAAACTGTTCTACAATGGCTTTTATATAACAGCAGGTAGTTGAACTCATAGATTTTGAAAAAACAATTACTATGCAATAGTACTTCTGAAAAAACATGTAATTCCTAAATATATTGATACTGGGAATTTTACGAAAACAAATTCAAACTTGGCCAATAAATCATTTCTTGACCATTCAAAAGAAAATTTGAATGTTTGCTTTTATTGATTTCCAGATTTTCCGGTAGGTTCATCATTCATCCTTTATATTCTGTATTCAATATATTGCAACGAATTGAAGAATCAACTGTCTTAAACAAATTTATTTTTAACAATATTTCACTATCACAACTAATTTATGTACAAAANGTTTCTGTGGTCAAAAATCCAAATTTTCTTCAAATTCGTAATTTGGAGTCATCTTACACGAAACAAAAGTGAAAATTATAACTCCAATTTGAAACATCGGCTATTGAGGCAAACTATTCTATTCGATTGTATTTGGATTCCACAAGTTACCCTACGGGGTTTTGATTCAATTCTGGAGCTATCTGCTTGCCTCTCTCCTTAGAGTTTTCGAAAAATTAAATAAATTCGAAAACGAAACAAAATAGATCTTGATGTGTTCTGAAATGTTTAAAAAAGAAGCCGATTATCACCTAATGGTTGTTTAGTTCAAAGCACTTCCTGATCAAGATTCTCAAAGAAAAATTATTTTTGTCATTTTATTTTCTATAATATTTATATTGGATTCAGTACGTTTCAAAGTTCGAAACACTTTTAGTACTCCTTTTATCGTTTTAGTACTTTTTCAACATGTTGTTCATCAGATAAGTTCAACTGACCGTATCAAACTGTCACCGTTCAATGCTTCAATTCTTTGTTATTATAAATGAATTGAAATTTATAGAAAACCCGAATGAAGAAGAGATGGCTGTATACCCAATGCATATAACTATTAATTGTGATTTCGTTTCATGTACATCTAGTACTTTTTCATACGCTTTCTAGTACATTTTTCTAAAGGTGGTGGCAAATCTACAAATATTTCGAAGCTAAACGATAGGGAAAAACAAGCTCGAAAGGGAAAATGGTATATTCGGATTCTGAAACATACATACAATACATTTTTCGCTTTTTTACCGTTAGCTTTCTTGACCTCTATGTAAGGAAAATCCATGGATAATTGTGGTTAATATGACAGGCGATATTTGGAGCTTTTTATTCATGTGATTTGATGAACGTTCAACTTTCAACAACTCAATAAATTGATAAATGTAGCCGTTTCTATGTTTCTAGGAGGTCATCGTGAAAAACATGAATTGAACTTTTGTTCCACTTTCGAATGAATATATTCCTCTGAAAATATCTTTGTAGGACGAAATTGCACCGTTAGTTTTGAATACAATAGAAGTTTCTATTCTCATTTTTCATGACTTCAACTACAAAACTGTAATATTTGTTTATATCCATTGTAACTTCAAAACAATATTTTCTAAAGACCGTAAAAGGTATTTTTTGTATTTTGCTCAGTTACATGAATGATATCTATCTTTGCTTCGATCCACGGTTACCGTTCTCATATCATCATCATACCAATTCATTTATTCTATAACTTTTTGTACAAATCAACGATAATACCTGTATCACACCAGACAACCTGAGTCAGCTTAAACACGCTTTACGGAATTTATCCAATCCACGTACAGGTATCAGCACACCACACTGACTAAGCAAACATAAATACGCGTTACGCAGCCGTAATAGTAGAGCAACTACGTTTTTTTACGTTATCAGTCATGTTATTTTCCTTTAACGCTGCACACACCCTGTATATTCCACTTCATGTTTTTTAATCCCATTTTTCATTCATCGTTATTATTATACCATTATTTTAATTACTCAACCACGCTGTTATTTTTCAACTGAATCTCTCCAATAATAAAATAAATCATTTCAGGTGAAAATGTATTCTGTTTAAATAGTTCCTACAGGAAATCTGATTTATTATTAATGATTATGGAAATGAGGCCAGTTTTTCTACCAACTACTAGATTTTTATTCATGTATGGCTTTATAATGAAGCGCGTGGTTTGCTGGGTTGAAATTAAATTGTTTCAAAAGAACTAATTCATAACAATGATAAATGTTAATTTTAAAAATAATGAACTTTGCTTCATATAATCAGATGAACAAATTTGTGATTTATTCTCAGATTTGATGAACAAGCGGTATGGTTTGTGAGGTCCTATATGAAGAATTTTAGATTAGAAATCATGAATATTTATAATATTACAATAGAGGTTAATATCTATGTGATTTCATTCAAAATTGGTATCTAGGAGTCTTTGTGGACCGACATTATGTTTTTTTTAATAAGTCATGCTGACGAATTCTATAATTACGAAAAATCATTGATATAAATGAAAAAAACTGTATTCAAAAATGAAAAATATGTTTTTCATATGTGTGCCATACGTAATAATCATTCTGTGATCAACAGAATAAAAAGCTTTCTACTCAATGTTCAGTTTGTATACTAATTAGTTATTCTTGTATAACCGGTGTTAAATCTGTTATTGCTCACTTAATAACTAACTTACGTCACACGAAGAATATTATTTCCGTTTTGGTTCTTCTTTCTTTGCACGAGGCTCTCGCGTTGCATACAGGCAATTTTAAATAAGAAATTGGATATGTCAAATAATGAGATAATATAAACCTAGTTTCAAAAACTTTATTCATAAGAATAAGATCAAAAAAATGATCATTGAAAACATCAAAAATATTCCCTTTCATAATGTTGGTTCACAAAGACCCCTAGATACCAATTTTGAATGAAATCATGATTTCTAATCGAAAATTCTTTACATCGGACCTCACAAACCGTACCGCTTGTTTATCAAATCTGAGAATAAATCACAAATTTCTTCATCTGATTTCATGAAGCAAAGTTCATCACTTTTGAAATTAACATTTATCATTGTTATGAATTAGTTCATATGAAATAATTTAATTTTAATCCAGTAAACCACGCGCTTCATTATAAAGCCATACATAAAAAAAAATCTAGTAGGTGGTAGAAAAACTGGCCTCATTTCCATAATCATTAATGATAAATTAGATTTTCTGTAGGAACTATTTGAACAGAATACATTTTCACCTGAAATGATTTATTTTATAAATATATAATATCCCTCCGATTATCAACTAAACCAACCGCCACTGTTTTATGGTCCAACTTACTTTCCATAAACAAAGTTATGCTGCCTTCAATGTAAGGATGCAAAAGGCCTCTCTATTGTCTTTTGTTACTCTGAGTCGATATCGAAGCTCGGTTTCGCAACTGACAGTCTTGGGGAGAGTCTTTTATGATTGATATTCGAAGATTGAGTTCTCTGTCGATCTCAAAACGGATGGTAAATGGTCAGAAAACCGGCTACTGACGGTAGTCGGTCGGTTCGACGTGGGTGCTTTGTTCACTCATTCGAATCGACCGCCGCGCCGTGTTAGCCGCTGGTTCAAGCCCCAGGCTGAAAGATCGATTTTCACTTGCTATCGTCCAACCCTTGTTAGGAATCACACGTTAAAAGGTAAGACCTCGTTAGTTCTTAGCTCGCACAAGTTTCGACTTCTGAGGGATGTCGTTTGTAGGGGTGCGATAGCTGGTTAACGGAAAAACAGATTTTAAACAGATTTTTCAAATATATTCGATAACGAACAGGTGACATTACATATTTATGTCAACGGTAATCGAATTTACGACTAGTTATTCTGAAAAAAAATCTTCGAAGAAATATTTGAAAACTTACTCGATGCCTCCAGTCGTTTCAAGCTTCTAGCAGCAGGTATACAAAATCTCCTAAGGATCAGTAATAACGTGAAAACGATCAAAATATACACCAGTAATTGTATATCTACAGAGAGCAGGAGACTCAAATGACCAATTATAGAAAATATAGTCTGAAAAAAATGAGGAAAAAATTTTTCCGAATTATTTTTCATTCTTCACTCACCCTCATACATTCTCGAGAGATGAAAGGAACATTCTCATCAATCAGTGCTAAGTCTGCAGAAAATCTATTCAAAACATTGCCAATATAGTGTGTATCGAAGAAGGACATAACAGCTCTGATAATGCTATCAACCAATGCCTTATGAATATTTATGGATGCCCTCCTACAAAAATCGAAATTTGCATAACACGTTATCAGTGCCGTCAAAGTAGCAGAGAAAATCATGACTGAGTACACTTTGAAAGTTTTTTGCTCCTGAGTCTCAGCTTCCAAAAATGTAGAGATATTGTACAGGTTATTGCTCAATGTCGAATTCATAGACTGGCGAGTTGCTTCATATCCTTCAAGGTCCTGTTCCAGGTTGAGAACAGTTTGCTTCTCGTCAACCCTGAAAATATTCACAGGTGAATAATCGATATGAAGGTTATTTTGATTTTCAGAAATCTACAAATTCATGTTTAATTATTGTATATCCATTCACTTACAACTCACAAAGAGTGCAAAGACTTTAGTAGGGAGCAGAAAATGGTATGTCATTGTAAAAATATATCATCACATATAGACCTTGTCCATGTATGCATTGTAAATATAAATATACTTTAATTAGGTATACATTACTCAAATTCGAATATGAAATTTATGAAAATAATATTTGAATCATTTTTCATTCAATTATTAACTCAAAGCAAATTTATAAGTTAACACTCATAATTCTTAAAATATGTCATTAATTTCGATTTTCTTCTGAACAACCTATCAAAGAGGTTACGTATAGCGGCATCTGCTAGCGAATAGCTCAAGCGATAATTGATAGTTACGTACAGCGCCATCTACCCGCAAACAGATCAAGCAATGATTGATAGTTACGTACAGCGTATAGATATTTCAGTGATAAATTATAGTATAAAAAGTATTTGATGTTCTGAAAGTTAAATGATTCAATATTATTTCAAATAGTATGACTACTTACCATCGACTCAATAGTTTATCCGAGTAACTTTGTGTGAATTGTGCAGAAGTTGCGAAAGCTATGTTCAGGAATAGTAAAAGGAACCCCCCACCGAATATGACATATTTTTTATAAACACCTAGAGAAACACGGCCTTCTTTCTTCACTTCCTTGTATACCTTCTTCTTGGTTGAAATTTGTTCGGTTTCCAAAAGTTTTGTATTTTCATCCATTTCAATGTCGTCTTCATCAACGATCACTTCCTTCTCGAGATCATCATCATCAGGAACAATTTCTTTAACTTCTTGTAGTATTTTTCCACTTGGTTTTCCAAAATCGATAATTCGACCTTTGTCCATTATCACAACACTATCTGCTTCGTCAATGTGGTTAGCTGTTTGGCTAACTAGAATAACAATTTTATCTTTCAGGTAACTTTTCACACATTCCTTGAAGATGTGATCTTGGACATGAGCATCTAGAGCACTCAAAGAATCATCTAATAGGTAAATATCACTTTCCTTGTAGATTGCTCTTGCTAAATTTATTCTCGCTTGCTGTCCTTTACTAAGATTCATTCCCCTATCGGTAACTATGGTTTCATCAGCATTTTCTAGGAGATTGAAATCATATTGAAGAGCACAAACCCTTATAACTTCTTGATATCTGAAAAAATATAGGGTTGGGTGAGTGAATATTTATTCAAGACAGCAAAGGAATTATTGTAATTGACTTAATATATACAATTGTTTCAAACCTACTGAACAAATTTTTTTTTTATTTAGCTTTATTTATTGTCTCATCAACTAGCACAGTTATTAAAGACATTCATATTGTTAGTGAATATATTAATACTGTGTAACGGTACTAAATTTTGTTCAAGAGATTAGTTTGTTTTAAAAAGTTTATCACATTTTCGACTGCACTGTATTCTCCTAAGATTTGCGCGATATTCTCTGGGTTGGTAATACAATGGACATTCTTGGAGAATGTGTTTAACAGTGATTTTTGTCTGGCAAATATCACAGTGTGGTTCTTCAGTTTTGTCTATGATATGCCCATGGGTAAGCCTTGTGTGTCCTATACGAAGTCTTGTGAGGATGACATGATGTTTCCTAGGCATTGGTATGTATTTCCATTGTTTTACTGACGACTTTATTTCCTTCAGCTTTGACCCATTGGTGTTCCATTTTTGTTGCCAACTATTTATCAGAATGTTCCTCACAATTTTTTTGAAATCGGATTGGATAATTATATTCGTACATGGGGGTGCTTCACTCTTTGTTGAATTTCTTGCAAGTAGGTCACTTTTTTCACTTCCCTTAATGCCAATATGTGATGGAATCCATAGAAAGATAATGTTCTATTCACCCATTTGGAGTTGTTGAACAAAATTGATAACATATTCTGTTTGTTTCATGGAACAATATATGTTCCCATTCAAAACTCTTGGTGTTCTTGAAAGAGTTCTACAAAATTATTCTCGTCATTTCATCCAATGCAACAGAAAATTAAGGTTCTGAATCTCCCAATTTTGCTATATTGAAATTGATTTTTATGATGAATTTAAGGTTGTGATTACCATATGTGTATGAGGTATGAATATTTGTTCACATATTTTAGAAATCTGAACTTACCGTTTTTCATCAAAATCTCCACCAAATGTAATGTTCTGTCTAATAGAAGATGGAAAGAGCCAAGGATCTTGGGAAGCGTACGAAATAGTACCAAAAGATGTAACCCGTCCTTTCGACACAGGATAATCCTGCAAAATTGTTTTCAAAAGAGAACTTTTTCCTGATCCCACTGAGCCAGTCACAATTATAAGCCCCGAATTGACCTTTAGACACAAATCAGTCAGTATTTCAGTAGATCCTATATGAACCGTAACTTCTTTTACTTTGACCGTTGGATTATTCACCGAAGTATTCGGAGTATTAGTGGCTTGTAGTTCTTCAGCTGTGATTACTTTTCTTATTCTCGCCAATGCAGACGTCAGTTCTGCACACTTGCCTATATTCCATGGTATAGAGATACCAATGGTCTCTTTGAGTTCATTGAAGTTTGACAGGAGATAAAAGACGATAGTGGCGTCTGATGAACACCCCATCCAAGCAAATGCTATTATCAGTGTGTAAAATCCCAAGTTGGAAAAAAAGACACCCACTAGAATCAAGACTGTTCTCAAGAATAATGCTCGAAGCATCTTACGGGCTTCTTTACTGAAACATACAATATATTTGTTAGTCATCTTACAGGGTGGTCATCAAAAACGTTTCGCGGGGTAGAACTGCCGTGATAAAAATTTGAGGAGTCAGTAATACCCCATTGAAAAGGGATTTCGAATTTCTATATGTAGGCCATTTTTTTCATTATGTAGTTACATTGCCATATTCTAAACTGAAATAGATATGAAGACGATTGAACAGGAAAAAATGTGACTCTCGTAAAGAATAGTACAATGGTGAAAGGAAATTCACAAGTACTGAAGCCCTTCTCGAATTATACAGGAAAAACTAAAAATGCTGTTTTTTTCGAATAAAATTGTTATTTATTTCAGAAAATATAAAAATATAGGAAAAGGAAATTGTATTCAAGATGTTCTATAACGATGTAACAACAATAACAATGTTCAAACGTTTCGTGTCTCTGTCTTCGCAATAGACGCGAAGTTGGGAAATTGGGTCATAGAGTGTACAGAAAATCAAGCAAATATACAACATGTAGAAAGAAAGATCTATAGTGAGTGGGTTTATTCGACCCTCCACACATCCAACTTGACCAATTGTACAGTTCCATAACGAAGCCGATAAATTCATTTGGTGAGTGATCTTTCAGGTCAGCTGGCAAGAATGGTACCAAACTCTGAATACCTGATGCGGTCCGTGGAATAGATTACATGTTTTGCTATAGAGCCTGAATTTCCTAATGGAAAATGATTCCTTATAAGGGGACTATCTGATCGGTGATCAGTCTGCGACTATCTGATCGGTGATCAGTCTGCGACTATCTGATCGGTGATCAGTCTGCGACTATCTTCGTCAGGTATACCTATAGGTATGGAACACAAATGTGGTATTTGGAAAGTGCATTTTCTGTATTGCTGTAGCCATTCAGGCTGGTATATATAGCTCATCAAGGTTGTCGAATATTGAAAGTGTAAGATTTCCACTTCGATACCCACAGCAAATATTCCATATCACTATACAATAACTTCAGTAATGCAAAGTTCTCCTACTTATGGTTTGGGTGAAATATCATTTGATGACAAGAGAGTTTGCACAACCGGCCAGTGATGCATATTCTACTTCTGTTGTTGAAACCTTTGGTGTAAGACAGATTTATAAAACTAACTGATCTTGAGGACGTGCTCAGTCATTTCCTGGCTGCACCACCTAGTCTACTAGGTTTATTCGAGTGTTGGAGAACTGGTTAGCTCGTGATCTTGATCTAATGTTACAGGAAGGACCGTTGGGGTCTGTGGTCAACCTCAACACCCCCTGTAAATTCAGCGGAAACGGTGGAGAACAGAGAAGCTCTTTCTCTTGATCCTATGTTATAAGGAGAAGAGTTATGCTCCTTTAGATATAGGTAGTCTCGCTGCGAGTCTGAAAAGCTTCAGTAAGTATTGCAAAATTGTATTAATCAAGGCATTGTGAGAATATTCTGCGGGTTTTGTAGCAGGTTCAGACAAAATACTATGATCAGCGTTTCTACAATACAGCTATGAATGTTTCAAAATATGTTGTTTCCAAGTTTTGGACAGACAACTACAGACTTATGAAAAAAAAAATATGTTCGTACTTCCTGGCGGCATTGATTTTCTCCCTGAAGAAGTTTTCCCACGTGTACATTTTGATTATTCTGATTGTTGACAACGTTTCCTGAGTCACTTGCAATCGCTCATCGGTTTTCGCACATGCTGCCATTCTCAGGTTGTTGATCCATCTCCCAAGCAACACTAGAAAAATAAAATGAATCTAATAGCATACTGAAAAATGACAATGAATGATTTATTCATGCACGCATTTTGTATACTCACAAAGAAATGGTAAAGAAGAAAATAATATTGAAATCCCAACAAATGAAGCTACTCCAACCTTTGAGAAAATCAAATAGCAAACTACAACTGTCTGGACTATTCCATTAATAACATCATTGATAACCCACACGGATTCTCTTAATATCTGTACATCTTTCGTTATTAATGTCACAATATTGCCTAGAGAAATTTCTGATACAGCTGAAGGTGTCAGTTTCAACGCTTTCCTGTATAAATATGAAGAGAATGCTGTTTTTATCTCAACACCCAGTTGCTGAACCCAAATAATGTAGTTGCTATTATAAATACGGAATATTTGCTGAACAGCTATTAACATGACAGCGTAAAAATAAGCATCATTTCTTGACATTGTCGTTTGTTCTGCTTTGAAGTACGAAATAAGATTTGTGAGTGCATAAGGTTCCAATATTCTGTAATTAGAAAAATATGTCAAAAAAAAGATCATAATAGTTCTTCAACATAATCAGGGGGTGCCAAATCAACAATAATAAGAAAAAAGACCTTCATTATAAAAAAATTAGTGGGTAGACTCTCTCCCCTAACTCTAAATAGACAAATAAAATAATTTAGTGAATTGAAAGTAAATGGAAAGAAATTCAAATAATTAGTTAACACAATTAATTAATTAATGTTGATACTGATACATTATCAATGTAAGTGATTTCTGTTCCAATAACAAAAATTACTTTCAATTACGTGTTTTACTCACTTGAAAGAAATTCAAGATAATTTAATTAGTACCAACATTGTTTTTTAATAGTTTTTAAAATAATTGATTCAGGACACAGGGAGGCCGATGCAGCCGATGCAGAGACGACGATACTTAAAGGTAAGGGAGGCATACTGGTGAGCGTGCGTAATGAACAATTGAAAAACAGGTATGATCTATGAAATTTTTTCAAATTTATCAATCAAGGATATCACTAAATTTTGTTGTTGAGGAAGTGTACATTTTTTACTCGTGAAAGATATTTGAATTAGGTTTTTCCATGGAAAGTATCAAAAGTTCGCTGTCAAAAGAGTTAGGGCAATTTGAAATCAATAATAACAGCGTACGCAGCGCCCTCTAGATGTTACATGAAAATTAATATACACCTATGATTTCACACGTCAAAAAAACCCGGCTGACAAATTTTGTGCAAATAACTCATGTTTTGCGAAACTTATTTTTAAAAAACCAACAAAAAAATTCAATATCAAAAGTTCTACAAATTCGAATGAGTTAACTCAGACTAATTGACGTTGATTCATACTAATACCTAACGTTTCGAATTTGAAATTCACTGAGTAGGAGTTGTCGTACATCTGCTGGACAAAAACTAGAGTTTGCTCATTTTCCCACCAGCTACGATTCATACCGGAGCAGATCAACAATTCACTCCTCTATTGAGCCTTAGAAAAACATCGTATTTGAATTGTAGCAGCTTTCAGTTAAAGATTGACCAGGCGCACGTCTGTACGATTCCTAGTACAGTCAATATGTATTTTCGATTAAGGTCAGCTTACTCAACATTATTATCAAAAAGTTGTGTGCTTGAAGCGTTGTCTTATCAATATTACCTTTAATTGTTCAAAAATTGTTTCTGATCGCTCATAATCCTTTCATTGACAACATACACTTTCTGAAATGTCAATATTTATTTTTCTAAACTGAAAACCATTAAAAAAATCTTTCAATTCACTATTGAAATCCATCATTTAGAAATTGTGAGATTCTAAACTTTCCAATTGTATCATGACCTGTGTCGAAATACATTCAACTATTCAACTATTGCTGAATTTAGCAACGGTGATACAAGTGTTGAATGTTGAAATCAGTTATCTACTGATATAATGATAATTTTTACAAAACCAATTTTCAACTCGGCCAGTGTAACTTTGTCTGGACTATTGCAGTTGTATTCAACAGTTGTATTGAATCAAAGTTGATTCAATTATCACTAGAATAATTTTGTACTTCTTACCGTAGAAGCGACTCGCAGATATTTGCAATGCCATATATACGGTAAGAAAATCAAATACCTCTACGTTCTCGCGAGAAAAAATTATGAGCATGTCCAATGAGAAGAAACTTTCACAAATATCTGTAGAGTGTGAAAGTAGCTCTTTTATAATAGATATTTTTCAAACTTTATACGGCAGCTATGAGAAGTTGCTCTATATAATTCAATTCGATGTTTGTTGGTCATAATCTGTTTGGATCACTTTTACTTTTGACAACCACCTTTTCTTTTTTATTCTTCAGAGTGATATTCAATTTCAGGAAAATCAATTTTTATTTGAGATGCATGTCGCTACACGGTGCTTCATCAGCTGGACTGCTCCCACCGGTCCAACCGAAGAAGCACNAATAATGTCCGATTCTATTGTCTTTTGAATTCCTGTATTATTGATAGACTTTGTACCGACATTTTCATCGTAATATCTTCATTTCATCAACTACTGAAGCAGAGCCGAATTTAGCAACGGTAATACAAGTGTTGAATGTTGAAATCAGTTATCTACTGATATAATGATAATTTTAACGAAACCAATTTTCAACTCGGCCAGTGTAACTTTGTCTGGACTATTGCAGTTGTATTGAATCAAAGTTGATTCAATTATCACAAGAATAATTTTGTACTTCTTACCGTAGAAGCGACTCGCAGATATTTGCAGTGCCATATATACGGTAAGAAAATCAAATACCTCTACGTTCTCGCGAGAAAAAATTATGAACATGTCCAATGAGAAGGAACTTTCACAAATATCCGTAGAGTGTGAAAGTAGCTCTTTTATAATAGATATTTTTCAAACTTTATAGGGCAGCTATGAAAAGTTGCTCTATATAATTCAATTCGAAATGTTTGTTGGTCATAATCTGTTCGGATCACTTTTACTTTTGACAACCGCCTTTTCCTTTTTATTCTTCAGAGTGATATTCAATTTCAGGAAAATCATTTTGACTTACTATCTATGATGATGATCATACAATTTCCAAAATAAATTTTTATTTTAGATGCATGTCGCTACACGGTGCTTCATCAGCTGGACTGCTCCCACCAGTCCAACCGATGAAGCACCGTAAAGCGGAACGGGTCTTCAATAAAAATGTATGATTGTATCATAGATAGCGTTAATAATGATTCAGTGGATTCATAATTTTCACTTACGTTTTGGATATTCTGAAACTCAAATCTACAGCACATATTATAGTATATTTCCAGCCAAATATTTTCCACACCGCTTTTGAGATAGATGGTTCAGAACTCCTCTTATTTTCTAACTTCCACTGCTCTTCCAGATTATTTCCACACCTTTTCGAGCCACATATTCCGACAACTTCATACAAATCTTCTTCTTCGAGGTCATGTTTGAAAGCTTTTCTGAATGTACCCACCACATATCTGAAAATTTCATTTGAAAATTAGAACCGTTATCAGACTATGAAGAACGAAGTTTTCTTTTGATTTTTCGGGTTTTTGATCTTCAATTCTGAATGAAGTGTATTCGTTTCACTCTTCAAGTTCTTCTGATTCTGAGACTGCTGATATCTTTCTGTATATTATCTATTTAATGCCTATGGAATCGGGGGAATCGCAGCCGATTTAATAAAATCATACATGCAAAATAGAACACAAAGAGTAGTTGAAAAATGCCACCTCACTAACGAAAACATACAGTCAGATGAATTAACAATCTTGAGAGGAGTTCCGCAAGGTTCAATCTTAGGACCGTTGCTATATATTCTGTATACCAATGAGCTAGCAAATGCAATTGATTTCAATACTGTGCAGTTTGCAGAAGACACAAGTGTAGTAATCAAGGAACATAGTATTGAAGAATTGGACAGAAGCGTGTTTGAAGCACTGAATTGGAAGATTGGTTCACACATAATCACTTGAAGTTGAATATAAACAAAAACACAAGTAATAAAGTTTTCCCAACAATCAACTGCATGTGAATACTCAGCCTGAGATGGTAGATCAACAATATCAGCTTGCAAAAGTACAAAGTTCTTGGGAATTGAGCTTGATCTTAGATTGGACTGGAAATCTCACCTTACCTCAATAATACAAAATATTGCAAAATACTGCTATACTCTAAGAGTACTAACAAGATCAATAGATATAAACGCTGCTATGTGTGTCTACTACGCACAAGTTCACTCAAGGATCAAGTACGGTTTAATATTCTGGGGTGCTTATAGGAATTATAAACCCTTTCCGATGGCACAATTCAGCACCTCAGACCTTACTGCGGTTAAAGTGGAATGTCCAGATGGATAAGGTAAATATACGGCATTGATACTCGCATCGGTGTACATTCCTTTAGATGCAGCCACCTTACCACCGACCGGAGAAATGTAGGTACTAGTGGATCACTGCCTCAACCACAGAGTAGAGCTTATATTGGGTTGCGACTCAAACTATCACCACTTGAGCTGGGACAGCAAGGATATCAATGCCCGAGGTCAGTCCCTATATGAATATGTAATTAAGAAAGATTTAACAATCTTGAACATAGGCACGAAACCGACATTTATTAACGCTCGTAGCCAAACATTAATAGATATCACGCTAACGACAGCCAAAATATCCAGGACTGGCAAGTTTTGGACCACATTTCTATGTCAGACCACCGCTGGTTGACCTATATGGTGAGCCAGGATCTCAGGACCACTGTAAAATAATCCCGTGACTCGAAAAGGACGGATGTAACCCTCTACAATCGACTCTTGAAAGGAGCTCTGCGGAAAACAGATGTCCTGACTCCTGGCAATAATCAAGAACTGAAAAAGTACACGGTATCTATAAAAATAGACATTGCCTACAAGGAATCCTGTCCGATGAGGATGGTTCAAACAAATGACACAATCAATACATGATGGTGCCCTGACCTGGTACACGTCAGGAAGAGAGCGACAACAAGGTAACAAGGTAAACAAAGAAGACTCGAAGAGGACTGGGTATATATCAAGCCAACCTCAGAGAGTTCGAAAAAGTCTGCAGACAAAAACGAAGAGAAGCCTGGAGAGCCTACTGTGAGGCAGTCGAAGACTTCCCACTAGCTTCTAGGCTACAGAAACCACTTTCAAATGACCATCATAAGAGTATCGGCATCCTAACGAGGGAAAATGTCGACAAAGCCGTCAACCTCCAAGAGAGTGCTGAGATTCTTAAAGATACTCACTTCCCAGGTTCTGTCTTTTCTGGAACGACGAATGGGACGGAAGTTCCAACAACACCCTCACAATTAGACTGGTAATCTGCTAGCGCAGTAATTGACGAAGACAAGACAAGATGGGCCATATTGGGCTTTTCCCCCTTCAAGTCACCATGACCTGACGGCATAAGACCAGCCTTACTTCAATGGGGACTGGATATTCTTAAGCCGCACCTGGTTGGAATATTCAGAGCCTCTCTAGCTCTGAGGTATATTCCCAGTAAGTGAGTAGGAGTTACAAGTAGTATTTATACCGAAACCAGAAGTACCTTACCGAAAGTATTCCGACCAATTAGTCTTCCTAAAAACTATGGAGAGGCTATGAGACCGGTACATAAGGAATGAAGTACTAGTTCACAACCCACTTCATCCAAATCAGTATGCATATACTCCGGAAAGGTCTACGGATTCGGCCCTTCACCATGTGGTTGGCAGAATAGAGAGATCATTGGACAACAAAGAACTCACCCTGGGTATATTCATATATAAAACAATCTTTCCAATAATTACCTAGGAACTACACTCCAGAAATGTAATCCTGGTAGTAGGAGAATGGAAACTCAAGATGCTCTCTAGTAGAGCAATAAATATCAATGCAGAAGACATCACAGTGAGAGGACTGGTCATGAGGGGATATCTACAAAGAGGAGTCACCCCTCCTCTGGAACATAGTACTGGATACCCTAATTAATCACCTCAACAATAATGGATCCTATACAATTGCATATGCAGATGACATAGTTATATTGCAGACCGGCAAATTTGTGAACACACTGTGCGATAGAGCGCAGGATGGGCTCAAATCAATAGAAACATGGTGTAAGGAACACTCACTGTCGATCAATCCCAAGAAGACTGAGATGGTCGTTTCCACCAGGAAAAGAAGTTTATCGGTCTTAAAACCTCCCGAAATCTTCAAAATGAACTAAACTTCTCTGAAGAGGTGAAATAACTTGGTACTATCCTCGACAGGAAGCTAACGTGGAACTCTCACCTACAGAGTAGAGCAAAAGTAGCATATGTGGCTTATGAGCAATATTGGAGGACAGTGGGACGCGCATGGGGTCTTTCACCACGTGTGGTCACCTGGATCTAATACCTATATTAACGTACAGAGTCATCGCGTAGGAAACGAAAGTTCTACAAGCAAAGGCCATCCAAAAATTATAACAAATCCAGCGACTGGCTTGTTTAAATATCAAAGGAGCCACGAGAACAAAACCAACCGCGGCAACTGAATTAACTACGGGTCTGACCCCTCTGGCCTGAACGTTAAGGAGGTTGCATTAATGGCCATGTTACGATTGCGCACGGGTAGTGTGAACCTCGAAGTAGTAATGAGTCAATTGAGGCTGAGCCTATGACGGAACACGCTTACTGCGAAACCTCTGCTGCAGGCAACCAGTGATGCAATTGAACCCAGTGTGATCCAAACAGAGCTGGCTGGTATCTCAATCGCCACAAAATGAATGATCAGGAAAGAAATTTCTGGAAAAACCTAACAATCTGCACTGACAGCAATCAAGCCTTATTAGCTTTGAACAGATAACGTGTTACCTCGGGGTTAATACTAGAGTGCCACTAAAATTTAGCCAAAGCCTCGGTAAATAATAACATTATCCTGAGGTGGGTTAAAGGGCATGACAAGAATGAAGGTAATCGCGTTACCGACTCTTTAGCCAATGAAGTGGCTGGACTAAGAATTTTAGGACCCAGTGGTACCTACGGCCTGATTACTTCGACAATTGCAGAACCAGCCAAATGTTACACGCATGATCAATCCCTAAAGAGATGGGATGGAATCAAAGGATGCAATATTGGTTGGATCACCCTGGGCGACCCTGATAAGCTGGCGCCGAAAAAATATCTGGCGATGACCAGGAAAAATCTACGCTTGACAGTAGGATTTCGGACTGACCACTGTCAACTAAGGAAACACCTCCATAATATGGGGTTAGTGGACACACCTCAAAGCAGGATGTTTGAACGGGAACATGAGACTGTCAGACATATCATATGCGCGTGCCCGGAGTTATCGTCAATAAAAGAGGGTGTGTTCGTCGAGTCCACCTTTCTGGAAAGGACAGGATGGACGATGACCTAAGAGGACAACTCCTCGGGAGGATGTACAATGGGTCATATGTGGCCTAAGTGCTGTCGGCTTACACTCACCCTCCCTACTCTACAGATACATACAGATTTATTTCTGATATTCATTTGATGGTGCATTCTCAGATAAGTTACCTTAAAATATTAATAACATGATAATATCACACATCACCTCATTCCAACCACACAATATCGGATATACACAGAAGCGAAAGTAAAGTCGAGGGGACAAATTTAAGACACATTTTAGATATATTAGACAGAGCTGACATTATTATTACCCTATAATAAAGTTTTCATAAAGATACATTCGAACCAATATGAAAGAAGTGTTCCAGAGTAGAACTATAATGGCAAGATGATATTTAAAATTTTTCTATGATAACAATTATTTGGATCATTTAGATTTAGAAATATCAGTTGCTATTTGGGACAATTTAGTTTATGAGTATTGCTGAGAACTGTTTCTGGAAATTCCTCACCTAATATCCCCCATATATTTGAATGACAGTTGTATGTATTTTGTTCTTTGCAATAAATATTTGCATTCATCTAATATATGATTTCTTTGCTCTAGCATTGACTCAAACATAATTATGTCAAGATCAGTAATGAATTTAAATAAATGGAACTAACTCAAGTACGTTATCTCTAGGTTGAACTTGTTTATTTAGCATATTTGAATTCAAATATCCCTTCACCCTAAAATTTACGAAAAATTAACACTTCAAGAACTTCAAGAAATTGCCTCTCATTCCTAAAACTGGAGACTTTATTGGTGATGTGGGTGTTCACATATTGACTGAAAAAATTATATTTTTATGGAATAAGAAGAGTTGCATTTTCACTTTTTGAATCCTACCTGAAAAATCGATTTCAGGCAGTTTGTTTCAATAATAGTACATCGGATTTCAAGAAAATGAATCATGGTGTACCCCAAGGATCTGTCTGGGGCCACTTTCATGTATTATTTATGTTAATAAGCTAAGCAACTTCATAACTCCCTTCAAATGTGTTCTTTTTGCCGATAATACGTCATTTATATGTTCAAGTCCAGATAAACACGTTTTATTA